ATTACGCTAATTCCTAAAAAAGCAGATGATTTATCCAACCTAAATAACTGGAGACCCATCTCTCTAGTCAACTCAGATGCAAAAATCTTTATAAAAATCTTAGCAAATAGAATTAATCCTATTTGTGATGAGATTATCAGCTCTGTACAACAAGCATTCATTGCCAAAAGATCAATTATCATACTGCTTTAGACATTATTACTATCTTGAGAAACCAAGAAGACCAATCAGCACAACATTGGCTTCTTCAACTTGATCAGCAAAAAGCTTTTGATAGAGTAAATCATGAGTTCTTAAAGCTTGTTTTAGAATGAATAGACTTTAGCAACAAATTCACCAGCATTATTAGCTCCTTATTTGCAACTCAAAAGGCCTATATAGTTGATTCAGGCTTTATCTCAGAGGCCTTCAGAGTTGAAAGAGGGGTCAGACAAGAGGATTCTCTCTCTCCACTTCTATATGTACTAGCTATCAACTCTCTGATCCAAGCAATTGACCAAAATATTAAAGGCATTTCAGTTAATAATTCCACTTTTAGAGTTGCAGCATATGCAGATGACCTTTCAATTGGTATCGGCCGGGTCTCAGACTGGAACAAACTACAAGAAATCTTATCTCTATATGAGCAAACCTCTAATGCATTGGTCAACAAATTCAAATCTACTCTTATCCCTATTACAGCAAATGCCAGAAGAGTGTAACTAGCTGACCAATCCAGATTCAATTTACTAGAGAATGCCCAAAATAGTATCACAATCTTGGGCTTTACAATTGACTCTAATGATCAACCTGACAAGGCCCTCTGAAGCAATACAATTAAAAAAATCAAAAACAAAATTCAGGAGCTGTATCAGAAAAATCTTTCCTTCAAACGAAAAATTCTCGCAACCAAAATGCTACTTGTCTCAAAAATCTGGTATTCAGCCTACCTCCTTCCCCCAACCAGAAAACAACTAAACGAAATTGACTCTCTTATTAAAGGCTGGATTAAAAGCAACTCATGAATGCTTCTACAATATTCTACATTTCAACGCAATTATGAACAAGGAGGGCTGTCAGCTTCTATTCTCAAGGATATGCTTGATGCCAGGCTTCTTACTATACTACTTAAACTTCTTACAAGTAATACCTTTTGGGCCACTACAGAATAAGAAACTATTAATATGAAACTTTATAATAAGAGAAAAATTTCAGCTGCTACTGCTCTGTCTCAAACTTCCTGCAGAACTAAAGGCTGGCCAGATAGCTAGAAGCCTTATATCACAGCATGGGGAAGATTTAAAGGAAAAATCTTAACCAACCACACTTGGCCTTGGTCACTAGAGCAAATTAGGATAAACGAGATTGATGACAATCTATTTACAGTAAGAGAGGTTCTAAAAAACCTTTATACCCCTCCAAGCATGGCCATCACTAATTCTTCAAGAAAAATCTCTTCACCATTTGAATGGTTGAAAACAAAGTAGTTACTAAACAAAAAGAAGGATATATTTTGGAGACTAACTTACAGAGCCCTTCCTCTTGGATATAGACTTATTCACATAGATCGTACCAATTTAGGAGACTGTCCCAACTGCCCCTATATTACTCAAACAATAGAACACTTTGCTCTCAAGTGCTCACTAAGTAAAGTAATTTGGGAAACAGTATACAAAGCATTAATCAATACAGATGGAGACGATATTTCTAGAACTCTAGAAGATATTACTCAAGCGATCAATATTGTAGATACTAGAAAGAAGAAAACAGCTATCTGGTTACATATTACAGCTATCTATGAAATTTGGTGCTGATATACCCAAGCCAAATGGGGTGATAATGTGATTTCTCAAGAGGCAATAGCAAACATTATAACTATAAGAATCAAACATGAAATCAAACTTTTACAAAAACTTTCTAGCAAAAAAATTCTTTCCAAATCAGAAAAAACTAACAATATTAGTCTCAATATATAAATATATATATTATTTTTTTAAAAATAAATAAATAAAGTACGCTTAAATGCGCTTTTTTTTTTAAAAAAAAAAAAAAAAAAAAAAAAAATTTAACTTTATATATTGATAAAAAATCTTAGATGATCATGAATTTTTTTAGGTTACACAAAAATAACTAATTCTGATTGGTTGAATCTATTGTTTTGACAATTTTGATTGGTTAATCACATGATTTTCTATATTAATTTTAATTTGCCATATAGATCATATAAAAAATGATTTACGGACACCCTATCCTTAACTATCTCTAACAACTATTCATGTGATTTAAACTGTCTCTAAGAACTGTCTGTTGCTTGTCTGCTAGTAATTAACTCCCAAAATTTTTTCTGGCACGTGATTTTTAGCTAATTAGATCGAAAGATCAGGTGTAATATAAAATCAAAACAATTCAAATACACGAAAACAAAATAATCAAATAAGCAAAAGATTTAATGCAATAAATATTATCTTAGAGTTAGAATTAAGGTTAAGAGATGGGCATAAGTTATACTAAAATTTTACAAGAAATTTTTTTTGTTAGAACATGTAAAGCAGTTTTATAAACAAAATTTTAAGTTATTGGTGATTTTTGTAAAAAGTGTAATTTTAATATTACACCTGATCCTTCAATCTAATTGGCTAAAATCACGTGCTAGAAAAAATTTTGTGGGTAAGCTAGAGGTGTTATGTTATCGGCACACCACCCATATAATAGTGCAATGAGCACAATAAGTTTAAATACTTGACAGTTGACTTGTGTGACAAGGTATAATATCAGGCAGTAACATATAAGGACCTGGTTTTGTTTTAGTTTTTTTATTTTTGTAACTATGAAGCTCCATGGCTGCTGCAGTAGAACAAGAATTTTTTTTTTGTAGTGATTAGGCTCTGAGGCTGCAGTAGTACAAGGATTTTGTTTTTGTAGTAGCTTCAAGGCAATACAAGGACCTTAGTAATTAAGATTTATAGCTGTGATAATAGTGTAACACCTTGTTTTTGTAGCAATTAGACAGCAGTACAGCAGTAGCAGTACAAGAACCTTGGCAGTTAGGCTTCGCTACTGTGATAGCAGTGCAAAGACCTTGTTTTAGGCTCCATGGCTACCATAATAATATATGGACCTTTACTAAATAGGTTGCAGGCTTCGTGGCTAAAATAATAGTATAGTATATTTAAAAAAACACAGTTTACTTTTAGTCACTATAATTCAATCCTATATATACCTGTGTACTCATATGCATGTACATAAACTTTACTAATACTGATCATTTTAATTATATGATTTATGAAATTTATTATTTTGCACAAGGTATATTCTTGATAAAATTTAATTGCATTGCGTTTCTAATTTTAGTACAACATGTTTGTTGTAATTCGAGATGCTGTAACTGTATTAGGTTTAGACTAAGAATTTTAGAGTCTTTAGTCCAGAATTTTTGTATTACTATAATTAGATATAGAAGTTTTGTCATAAATACTATTTATTCCCTAGGTTGGTGGGAATAAATTAGTTATCCTTCGTTCTATATGATGATATGATGGGAATTTACGTGTTATTAATCAAATCTTTTATCACATCATAGAAAGTTTAATTTATGAAATCACCAGGCTAAAAAAAAATATATATATATAAGCTTATATATTGATTTAATGTATTAGACTTTTTATTACATATTAAAAGTATAATTGATATATATATATATATATTTTTCTATCAATCATTCTCTCTCTCTCTTTTTATTTATTTTCTTTACTTTTTTACCAGATATTAAAAATGAACCTATCAAATAATAATAATTTCATAACAGCTGCACAAATATATAAAGAGAATAATGACTCTTTCAATGCTTCTTTTACTTTTAATACCTCTGTTGATAGTATTGATAGTAGTGACAGCACCAGTGATAGTGATGATATTAGTAGTATTCTTGAGAATGAACCTGAAACTAGCGATGAGGAAGGTCAAAATAAAGATAGAGCTAAGGTTTTTATTTTATTTTTTGGAATAGTTAATAGAAGTTATATATCTTTATTATGTTTTTATTTTTTTTTTAGTCTCATTTTCAAGCACCTTCTTAGAAAGACGTCGACCACATTATTGATTATTCTAAGGTGGCAAATACTAAATATAATACCCAAACTTGCGTAAATACGATCAATGAATACTTTAAGATCTAAGTCTTCCTGGTGATATTTCGCAAGTTAAAGGTCATACCGAGTTGAAGAATATTCTTATTCAATTTTTTGTTGCCTTAAAAAGAAAGGATGGACAACCATATGCACCCACGTCAATTCATAATTGTTTCTGTGGAATTGCCCAACACCTTTTAAATAACTCCTGTCAAGATCCCAAGCCAAACATATTCGATAAAAATCAATTTTTCTGTTTATACTCAACAATTGATGGGAAAATTAAGTTAGTTCAAGACACGAATCCACAACAAGCCAATAAAAGTGATTCACTTACGAATAATAAAATTGCTCAAATATTGAATCAAGAAGAACTTTTGCAAGATACACCTACTGCTATCATGTATAGAGTTTACTTTTGGCTTTGTCTCTTGTGTGGATTACATGGTGGAGATGCCAAATGACTTCAATACAATTATGTAAAGGAAAGCGATTCTAATGGTCTCACTGTTATTATATCTCGTGAAAAGAATCATGCGGGTAGTTTGAAAAACTTAAATAATTCAGATCGAATATGTTGAATACCACCTGATACACAAGACCAATTTACTTCAGTTCATGATATTCTATACTATATGCTTCGACGTGGAAAACATTTTATATCAAAAGAATTTTTCTTAAAAATTGCTTATAAAAAAGGTATTTGTTTATTATTTTTTTATTGTTATATGATTATTAACATGCATTTTATTTTTTAGATTATGAAAAAGGTGTCTGGTTTTATGATTCTTCACTTGGACGTCATGCTTATAAAAAAATGATTAAAAAAATATGTGAAACAATGGGTGTTATTAATATGAACCTAAAAAAAAACCAATCATTCACTAAGAAGGACTGCAATTCAGATACTCATACTGCTTAACGTGAATACTAATTGAATTATGGCATTTAGTGGACATTGTTCACTTGGTGGTGTTGCTTCATATCAAACCTTTACGAAAGAAATAATGAATAATACTGTTGCTATAATTATTCCAGGTAATTGTCTATTTTATTTTAATAATACATTTTTAAAATGATATTAATTGATAAAATATTGTAGAATCCTCAGAACTATTAGCAAATTCTTCACGACGGCTACTTGCACCTATTTCTAATTCAGACAATCAAGTACTTCATCGAATTCGTTCCAGAATTACAAAACTGAGACCTTTTAAACCTTTGATGCGTCAAAGCTATTTGTCAGTCTATTCAAAAAATCTTCTGCAAAGAATTTTGAAGATATGCAAAAAATTCTTCCAGCCGTTGTTTCAAATTCTGCTCAAGAAATGCTACGAATTACTGTTGAGAATTGTTTTAATTGCAACATTGAAATAAAAATTACTATGATATAATATATTTAGATTTTATATAATTTCTTTTATTGCGAATTAATATAATATCAGCAAATTTAAATGAGCAAAATATTGCGAAAGAATTTGCGTTATGAAAAAATTTCGCAAATTAGCGCAAAAAAT